CTGGCCAACTTGACGATATTCTTTTGAGAGCACGAGGAATTCTGTGCGATGTTGCGATGTTGCTCAACGTCGCACAAACGAGTGGCTTTCTCTTTGTGAGTGGATGCTTGCCGTAAGATGTTTCCAGCCGACAAGTCTTTCTTTTATTGGCCCGATGTTTGATCTTCCTTCTTCCTTAGTGTTTCTTCAACTCGCGTTTCTGTCTGCAAGCCTTGCGTTTTGCTGGGATGCTAAAATTGTTGTTCTTACGAATGTTCTTTAAATTCTGAAATAATAAACTTAATAACTTAATAAAATACGTTAAAACAATTTCAAAAGACTGTCTGAATGTCTGAATCAAAAAACCTTTCTTTTATCTTATCTTCCTTTGGTTTTGACTTGATTTTTTTTACAACTAAATTACCAAAAGGGTGCGCCTTCAATTTTTTGTCACCCTGTAAAACAATAAACCGTTGGAAGTTGAAATCTTTATTTAAAACTTAAGTTAGATCATATTGTGAAGTGATTTGAGTTGAAATTTGCTTGTTGTGGGTGTCTTTCATGGTGTTCCTTGATGAAGCATTCGAATGATCGTGGATTTTGTAGATTTCTCGTTTTCTTCTCAAATGGCCGAATATTTGGATGACTTTCTCTCGATACGGAGTCACGTAGTAGACCGTAATACACGGGTTTATTGAGCTAACCTGAACGAGATTTTAAAAGACCACCTTCAACTGTTATTGTTACACCTTACACCTTAAACTGGTATTGTTCTTGGGTAGACAATGAGCGTGAGTGGTCAACTAGACTTGGTTGTCTGGACTGATCAATCAAAAGGCGATTTTATTCGTTTCAGACGTCGACCTAGCATCCGTTTTATCACCCAACTCACCATGGCCACTAACAGAAAAGCCCATTCCTCAAAGTACGGAACCGAGTGCGCAAACCTTAACTTGAACGTTTGCAATTACTTGACCTTCAGGCTCTATTAATGATCTTACGGTAATTGAAATTGTCTCCAAGCGTAAATCGATGCTCGTTAGAGCCTAAAAAATGATCTAAACTTGAGTTGATGATAAAGATGAAAATAGCTTAAAGAAAAAAGTTGAAGACAAATGTTAACGATTCATAAATGCTTTGATCAGTCTGGCTTTTTTTTGAGTGTCAAGGCTTGATGTGTCAAGGGTCAAGGCTAGGGTTTGATCGGAGCAAGAGCTGGACTTAGCTGAGCTTTTGTCTTCCTTACTCACTTTGGTTTGCTAGACAGGGTCTGTTTGAAACTTTACTTTTTCTTTACAAACCTTCACCAATTTCTTCTGTGCCATTTTCGTTTTTGGACTCATTGAGTCTTTCTCGAGAACTCGCAGAATTTGAATCCGATAAATGATGGCTGCTGTGTAGCCGGGGAAAATCGGCAGACAAAGCAAAGCCAGAAGTGGCATTGTTCTGGACAAGAATTTGAAACTTACAATAAATAAAACCTACGTTGATTGGAGAATGTTTTCATAGCCGATGATGGCTGCGATTTTTGGATCATCAGGAAAAGCGAACCATTTTGATGATCGATAAGCATTTGTCTGGCAATAGCTGGGTCACTGGTCGAAGAAGCGAATGGAATCTGGAAAGTAGTGGACAGTTGCCGATGTTCTTCTTTTTTACAGTTTTCTTTTCGAACTCTATTAACTGACCATTGTGATGAAAGCTGGTAGATAGATAAGAAAACAAAGGAAAGCAATGAATTTTGGGCTTGGAGCTTTGTTTGAGAGAACGTAGTGACGGTACCTGGACAATAAATATTATTATTATTAGGTACTACAAGAAAATAACCATGTTTTCCGGCTGGTTGACTTTGACATAGTTTTTAAATTTGATTTGACTTGACTAGATTTGACTCTTGGAATTATTTCTTGTTAGGTTATTCTTATTTCAGTTTCCTTAAAGATTTTGTGTTTCTAATTATCTATGATGTTTAGGACTCGGATTTCCAAATATGGACAAAAAGTAAATTCGGACGATTCTTTTGTATGAATTCAAACTCAGGCATTCATCAACAAATGCAGACAAAAACATGAATCTTGTATTTGGACAAGGCACTAGATCAGTTCCCACTGCACAAGTTTGGTTCAAGCGATTCCACGAAGGAGACGAGGATCTCGAAGATATGGAGAGCCGAGGTGACTACTTGAAAATGAGGATTTGAAGCGTTTTGTCGAAGCTGATCCTCGGAACACGGAGCTGGAGCTTGCGAAACACTTCGGTGTTGGAGTTATAACAGTTATTAACAGCAATCATTTGAAAGAGATTGGCAAGGTAAAGAAGCTCGAGAAATGGATTCCGCATCTAGTGAATAATCGACAAAAATTTGCTCGATGTCTCGCTTCATCGTCTTTGAATTTTCGAAATGAGAAAGACTCTTTTTTGGGTCGATTGATAACGTGCGATGAAAAATGAGTCCTTTACTTAATTGAATTGAATTGAAAGCGAAATTCGGAATGGTTGGACAAGGGCGAAAGTCCGCTTCTTTTCCAAAACCGGATCTTCACCCAAAGAACATCATGTTGTCAAGTTGGTGATATCAGAAAAGAAGTGATGCACTATTCGTTGCTAAATCAGCGATTCGGAGGTCTACGTGTAAAAAATCAAGGAGATGCACTGAAAGTTGCAGACTTTGAACCGCACGTTGATCAATCGAGAAGGTTCTATTCTGCTACAAGACTCCTCACGTCTCTGTAACGACACTCAGGGCACTCAATGATTTAAGCATCGAAGTCCTACCTTATTCAGTCTATTCACCAGATCTATCGCCAATTGATTATCACTTATTTAAGCATCTTGATTGCTTTCTTAGAGGCCAAATAATGCCATAATGTCATTGACGTTTTTATCAACTCTAGAACTTCTGATTTCTACATCCATGGAATCGAAAAACTTACCGTCTTCTGATAAAAATGCATTGATTGAATGAATATTATTTAGTTAGTATTATAAATTAAAATTTTGTTGATCAATCGAGAAGGTTCTATTCTGCTACAGAAGACAGCAAATCTATAGAGAAAAGGAACCAAATTTATAGAGAAAAGGAACCAAGTCTGTAACGAGGAGGAACCAAATCTGTAGAGAAAAGGAAACAAAACTGCTGCAAGACAACGCGCCTCCTCACGTCTCTGTGATGACACTCAGGGCACTCAATGATTTAAGCATCGAAGTCCTACCTTATTCAGTCTATTCACCAGATCTATCGCCAATTGATTATCACTTATTTTTGATTTTGATTGCTTTCTTAGAGACCAAATAATCTGTAGAGGTTTAAAATGCCATTGACGTTTTTGATTAACACTAAAACTTCTGATTTCTACATCGATGGAATCGAAAAACTTGCCGTCTTCTGATAAAAATGCATTGATTGAATGAATATTATTTAGTTAGTATTATAAATTAAAATTGATGATTGAAGTAGAGTATGAAAAACGTAGTTATTTTTTCGTAGTACCTAATAGATTAACTAATCATAATTTCTGAAAAACTTGGACATTTAAATAACTACCGTAAATACTGTAATAGTACCTCACGGCCCTCGTACAGTCGCGTAGTCGCAAATGTTTTTTAGTATTTCATTTTTTTCAAAGCGCCCGTACTTTCAAAAAATGCGTCTTTCGTATGAAAAAATAGCTGAAATTCAGGGCTATTTTTTGATATCTAAGCCCGCATTGTAGCATAAACCAGTGTCGAGAAAAACTCGTTCAAAGCTAGACTACGCAACACTCCGCACCGTCATTATGGGCGGTGGGGTACTATTACAGTATTTACGATAGGTTTAAACAAGCCTAGCAATTGTGTTTACCAAAAAGAAAGGGGCAAAAGTGAATACCCATAGGCGATGCAATGCAAAGTGAGCGAGTGAACTGAACAACTTTTTTTCTCATTAATTACTGTCGATTACCAGTAGCACAAAACTGAGGTGAAACTTTTCGACATAAACCGTGAAACTGAAAGATGAGGCCGTAGTTGATTGGAATAATTCTAAGCTGGCAAAAGTTATGGAAAACTTTGAGCTTCACCTGGCAGTAGCCAATCCGGCTGTGAGGCCGAGAAAGAACTCGGATAAAGTGACGCTGAAATTGTTTTGACTTCAAATTCTTACCATCTACTTTAATGGCAGTTTTCATTTGTCACTTTCATTTTCCTGTTTTTATTGTATTTTAAGTTGGATACTTTAATTTGGATACTTTAACCAGTTGATTACTTTAGGTTGGATACTTTAGCCAGTTGAATACTTTAATTTGGATATTTTAACCAATTGGATACTTTAAGTTTCTCTTACTACCCACAACCTTTTTACAGTCTTTTGCTTTACTAACCTTGCTAAAATGATAGAATATGATCGGAAAGACTTCGAGGTTTGAAATACAATGAGATATAGCAATAGTCCATTCATTCCGATTGAAATTATATCAGAGATCTGGTGAGCCGTTGTGAAGAGAGTCGCTCGGAATTGAGTAAACGGAAAGTCCATCTCTGGTTGCTTGAAATGAAGACGGCCTTTAAATCAAAAAACAGATTGTTGACAAGACTTTAGTTCGTGATATGAAAAACACTCGAAGCACGTGGAAAGGGAATCGAGGAAGGGGAAATCGTGGCACACTCACACACCAATTTGGAGTTCAACTCGAGGAAAGACTCACACATATCAATTTGATTTTAATTTCTCACGAAATGATTAGCTGTTACTTAGCTGCTTTTTGATTTACTGAAGATCTACTGAAGATTTGAAAGTACGCAAATTTTGAAGATTAAAACGATAAACGGTACAGTTTTGATATTCTTTCAAAATCAGAGATCAAGCAGTTAGAAGAATTAGAAAAATAGGAATTAGAAGAATTAGGAATCAGCTTGGGCCTTGTACAGGGTGTCCCAGAATTACGGTAACCTGTAAGGAGCGGGACTAGAAAGCCAAAATTGACCAAGAACGAAAAGTAAACGAACAAATTTATTCTTTTAACACTATTCAACAGAATAATTCAATTTTTTTCAAAGTGAGATCCCTTAGCGTCGATGCAAGCCTGTAAACGTTTTGGAAAAGCGTCGACGGTGGCGAGAAGGTATTGTGGATCGATCGCCTCCCACGCTTTTTGAAGCGCTTTCTTCAACGATTCCACTGTTTTATGTGATTTTGCGCAAGCCTGGGACTCCAAAACACTCCATACAGAGAAATCCATTGGATTGAGATCCGGGGACGAAGGTGGCCATTGGTTGAAACTGATGAAGTCTGAGAAGTTGTTAGCACACCAATCCTGAACCAATTTTGCTTTATGCGCCGGCGCCCCGTCTTGTTGGAAGCACCAAATCCTGTTCCCAAAGTGGTTTTTGCTCCAAGGAAGAAGCTCATTTTTCAAAATATCCAGATAATTCTGCGCATTCACTTTAATGCATTCACGGACACGGTCGCGCACCTTCTTGATGATGGCTTTGTTGATAACAGATCGTTTGTTACCTCGTCCTTTCCGATCGAAATTGGTGCCCAGTTCCTTGAATCTTGCAATAGTCGTCGAAACCAGCTTCTTCGAGACTTTCAATCGCTTTGAAATATCAATCGCTCGGGTCCCGCCTTTGTGAAGTTGAATGATCGAGTTACGATGAGCAGAAGGCTTCGTCATTCTAAATTTAAAATCAGATTTTGATGTAAACATTAACAAAACATTCAAAAAAAGAGAATAAACCAAAAAAAGCTAAATCACAGGCAACTCAAAACTCAAAAACGGGCAAAGCAGCGGGGCAGAGCCGGTTACCGTAATTCTGGGACACCCTGTACATCTTAGCAAATTCCGTTCTGTACTTGAACTTGAACTTGAATAGAACTTGGGCTGTTTGATATCCTAATGGTTGATTCGTTTTTTGGTAAATAAACCGACTACGCCGGGCAATCAAATCGGAAAAGTTTCAGGTGAAAAACGGTGCTGACATTTCAAAAATTGCTGAAAAAACGATGAACTTCCAAAAAAAAAGAAAGTTTGTACCCAAAAATAATCTTCAAAAATCATTTAAAGTTCAAAAGTCTACAAAGAGCTTTTGCATAAAAACAAAAGAGAAATTGAATCATTTATCTAACTTTCTTTTTCTTAAAACACTTTCATTTTGTTTTTCAGAAAAACCTTGATTAGATTAAAGCCAGAGAAGTGAGAGCAGTCAAATCTTCGACAATGGCATCATCTACTCTTTTAACAAAACGAAGTGGCTTGTCTGATTGTTGCAAGAATCAAAATTTATTGTTGATTCTTAAGCTTTCCAGATAATAAAGATTTTTCAATTGTTTCAAACAAGAACAAGAACAAGAACAAGAAAGTTTTCGACAAGCAACTATGTTCGATTCCACTTACCTCAATGGTTTATGATCAAATAAATGATGACAAGAGTCATTTCTTTCTATTTCTTTTAGAGATTTTGTTTCGATGAGCATCAATCCATTTCTCTTTCAACTTGCTGCAATTCTACGTGTCCCTAACTTTTCTGTGTACGTGATCGCCACTCTGTGCCTCATTCTGACAACCATTCATTGTGTGCATGTTCCGAACATTATAAAGGAACAGCTTGTCAAGGTAAAACTATAACCGAAAACACTATTTAGTTAACAATCTGCTACAAATGCTTTCTAATGTCATTCCAAAGATTGCGGTTCTTCATCATCTACTCTTTTAACAAACCGAAGTGGCTTGTCTGATTGTTGCAAGAATCAAAATTTATTGTTGATTCTTAAGCTTTCCAGATGATAAAGATTTTTCAATTGTTTCAAACAAGAACAAGAAAGTTTTTGACAAGCAGCTACAAATGCTTTCTAATGTCATTCCAAAGATTTCGGTTCTTCCATTGTTGAGTGTTCATTAAAGTTAAGCAGCTGCTGTAGGAGCTGCTTTAGAAAACTAATTTGCTAGCGTACGAGAAAGAGTCAAAAGTCAGCAAGTCAGCAAGCAAGTTGTTCTTTGTGCATTAATTTATTTTTTTAGATGCCCTGGGAGCGATATCGGGACACTCCGACTAAGGAAAACATTGTCAAAGCCCGTCAAGGAGGGATCAAAATGAAGGCCATTTGTGATCTCTTTATCGTTGATCGCTCTACCGTCTCCAGGCTTTGTAAACGACAAAAACTAGAGGGAAATGTGCAACGCCATTCAAAAAGTGGTTGACCACCTAAAACAACAATCAGACAGGACCGTTCATTGATCGGGATGTTCTTAAAGGATCCAAACAGGTCGAGTACCGACGTTGCCAAGTTGCTTCAATCTTGTTTTGGGCTTGAAATAACCGCTCAAACAATTCGAAACCAGCTCAAATCGGTTCGATTGTTTGCTCGACGACCAGCACGAAAGCCTCTAATGGTTTTGAGAAATCGGCGATTGAGATTGGCCTTCGCAAAGACGTACAAACATTGGACGGTCGACGTTTGGAAGAAGGTACTATGAAGTGACGAGACGAAGATCAATATATTCAATCCGGATGGTGGTCGAATGATTCGTCGGCCTGTTGGAAGACGCTAAAAACTCAAGTATATGCGTCCTACAGTCAAATTCAATGGTGGAGGAATCATGGCTTGGGGTTAGTAAATGTTTTTTAGATTGTGCCTAATTCTGTCTATATTTAGGTTGCATGTCATCGTCCGACGTTGGTCCGCTAGTCTTGATAGACGGAATTATGGATGCTCACAAGTACAAGGACATATTGGAGACACATATGCTACCTCATGCACAAGCGAAAATGGGACAGGGGTGGTTATTCATGTAAGATGGAGACCCGAAGCACACAAATCAGCTTATGATGGGACGTCGATTGAAGACTCAAAGGGGATTTTTTGTGAGGATGCCCGGCTGGTTTCATCAAAATGGAGTGGAATTGCTTCGAACACCACCTTACAGCCCCGACATCAACCCGATTGAACATTTGTGGTCGATTGTGAAACGAAAACTCAAAGGACAAAAATTTCTAAACAAGGCTGAACTATGGGGCCATGTGGAACAAGTATGGAAGACGATCTCTCAACATGTGTTGCACAAATTGGTCTCATCGATGCCCAGAAGACTACAAAAGATCATTCAGGCAAAAGGAGCTGCGACGAAGTATTAAACTTATTGGATTTGTTTGATAGTGCAAGACTTTTTTTGCTTCCTTTTTTGTTGGCCGCTAACTCTTTTGTTATTTTTTCTATTTTACTGTTACGAATAAATTTTTCACTTGTTCATTCGGAAACTAGACCACAATGGTAGAATTAATTGCCAACAAGTTTTCTCTGAAACGCTTATTTTTGCGGAAAATTTTTTGTTTTAAGCCTTTGGGAGACAATGGTGCAGGACTTTTTTTGCTGACTGTATGTATGTTTTAAAATTGATGACTAATTTTTTGATTTCTGTAAAGAACAGAAATTTCTGTCTCTTGGGACCAATTTTGACTGGTTTTACTAGCGATCGAAAATCAAAATGCGTAAATTTCGATCCACAAAAATGTAAAAAGCTTGCGACACTCGGGATTCCCAAGCCGTCTCCGATCCAAGTACTAACCGAGCCCAACGTTGCTTAACTTGGCAGATCGGACGGGATGCCGTGTTTTCAACGTGGTATGGTCGTGAGCGATTCCGGGGCTATGAGAGACAGTCTAAATACGCGGACGCCATGGCGGCGGACACGAGAGAGCATCAGCCCTCGCAGAGACGCGAAACGTCACGACGGTGTGTACCTTTCGTGCGTCTCGTAAGAAAAAGCGGCATCTGGCACACGGCTCGCCCACATAGCGTGACAGAGACCCGATTTTCCGGTTTAATTACCCAAGTTTGAGGTTAGCATTAACCCCGAGACCTTCCAAGAGTGTCTCGAAAAAATTTTGGAACGCGTCCCCTCTGGGGATGCACAAATAAACCAAAAATGTGAATTACGATGAAACTGCGATACTCTATTTCATTCTTATCATAATATTCAGCTGTAGAGACAGCTGAAATAGACGACCGCCAGCGAGCATTAGTTAACGAATTTGTTGCCTTTACTATTTTTGCTTTCTGTTTTCATCTTGAGTCAGAAATTTTATTCAGTACATATTCATGGCATATCACTAATTTGTCTTTCTTGAAAACTATAAGACAACCCGTTGCATTGAGAAAATTTTGATTGAAGAAAATGGGGACGGTTTTCAGTTCTCAATTTCTCGTTGAAGCGTCTCAAAATCCATCACGTACCATTTGGCGGCGGCGAGCACATTTGGACGAACCTGGAATTTGATGACTGAAGTTTTACGTACTGAATATTTAGCATTTGACATTTTTGATGGAAGCTTATCAGCCTGCTTTACTAGACCAGATTAGACAAAAGAAAAGCTACCTTGAAAGGCCTAAAGGTGGGTGAACCCGGATCTTACAAGTGTGGGGTACGATAGCTTTTCTTAAAGCGCACCTTTTAGAAAATGCTTCACATAGAAGGAAAACACAGTATCTATTCATCTAACGTAAGTAAAAGCGCCTTTTAGAAAACTTTCGAAAGCAAGAAGAAACAAGAAAAACATAGTCTGTTAGATAGTTTTCTAAAACGTGAATCTGAAAGTCTCACACAGCAAAGGCTGTTTGCTAAACTGCAGAAAGTGGCTTTGCTCATGTCTACAGTCAAATTACTCGTCTACTCACAAACCTGATTCCCTCCAAATCCGACAAAAGCCTCAGCCGGCGGGCAAGCCATCAAATCATTCGTCCCATCACCGATCATCACCACATTTTCATATCGATTCTCCCTCTTCAATCTCGTAATCACATCGCCTTTTGTGACCTCAAAATACACGATAACATTTTCACTTAAAAGCTCTCTTTTTGAGAGCTTTTTGTGCTAACGGAGGTCTCCACGCCGAGGTATTGTCCTGTTGCATCGAAAAGAAGCGAGTTCGCGAAGACGTTCTCCCTAAAAAAAGTTGATATTATTACTATATTATACATGTTGGAATTAGCAAATTTTACTTTTTAGCTTTTTTTTTCTTTGTTTACCGTGAAATTCCCAGTAATTCGGCCACGGGAAACGCCATTTCGTAGAAACCACTCGTCAACAAGAAGACTTCTTTTCCTTGTGCATGCAATAGTTTAATCAAAGGCTTGGCTCCTGAAGTTATCTGAAAACCGTTTTAATTAGACTTCCTCAAGTTAATGTAAAATCGATTACGGTAGAAAATGGCTATCAGGTCTTAAGGTAACGGATCTTGAGTTACTGAGTTTTTAGAAACATTTTAGGATTCTATTCTAATTCTATTTGGCACTAATTTGCCCGATAGTTAGTTTAATTTTATTGTTTTCTTACCCGTAAACTCCTTTGATTTAAGAAAGTGTTCAATTGTTGCCGACTCGGCCGCATTCGATCGAAACGATCCATGATATCGAGTCTAAAATTGCTACAGTAATTGAGGGGGGAGCAGTTTGTAAACACCGGCTTTTTCGAACTTGCCAATAGTTTTAAAAACTTTCGATGTATTCCTTATTCTTATTGGATGCAGAATAAAACTATCTACATTTTGCATACTTTGGGATCACTTAAAACAGAATTTGTGTCGAGAGAAGTTCAGTTAACCTCTTTATTGAGCCCTTTTATCGTTTTTTTGGCATTTTTTTCAACTTCTAAACAACTCAAAAGAAAAATTCAGAAAATAGACCAAAAACGCCGATTAATCGAAATCGAAAATCGAAAATTACTCATGCAAATGAAAATTTTACTCAACTTACTTGAAAAGAAACACACTCTAATCATGATCAACTTTTAAACTCACGACAAGGGTTTATGAATTGCATTCATGGCCGTTTGAGTGGCTTTTGCGATGTCGCCAAATCCCAGAAACTCGGCGATTTCCGCATTCGAATCACCCTAGAAATGGTTTTAATATTTGAGCTGAAAGTTCAATAAATCTATAATGTAGGGTCATAACCAGTAAACATAAAACCGAAGACATTTTCGATTCATTTCCCAACAGCCATTTTCATTTCATTTCCCAACTCGATACCCTATTCATATCGAATAACCAAACCGACACTTCGGAGAAGCAAACTCTTTATATTATCTCTACCATCCATTAATCTTTTCTAATATCAAAATCTTGAATGTGATTCTTCTTCTTCAAACCCACCACAGCCACCGTATCATCCATGTCAAAGCACACTGCATCCGCTTTCTTCCAAACGTTTTTCACCAAGTGTTCTTCGTTTTTCACAAAGGAATTGGTGAGTAGTTTTTCGAAAGTATCATTTCTAAAACTTATTCTATTATATTTTACAATTTATCTAAAAAGTTTGAACCTAAAAAGTGTCAAATCTTGTTTTTGGAACCCACAGATTACTCTTTTACATTGTAAAACATTTCATTAACACTGAAATTCAAACAAAAAAAAATTTTAATATGAATATTAGCAACTAATATGAAAGTGTTTCAAATTTTCAACTTCAATTTTATTCTTTATCTATGTGATTCGAATGCAGTTCTCATTTTTGATCAATTTGACGACCAACCTGAGCACGGGTGGCTGTGAGACACGAAGCATCTTTTCCACAGTGAGAGGAAAACGGGAAGTGACTAAGAAATGGTAGAAAAAATTCAGAAGCATAGCAAAGTGCATAAAAAATTTTTAAGAAAAGTTTACGTTTTGTAAAAATCTCAATTTTGATGCCAGAGCAAAAATGAGAGAAATACTGAAGTCACCTTTGGAAATGAAAAATTAGGGAAATTTCCCGGTCAATTGGTGGGTAGTTTTCTCATTTTTGAAATTTGATATGAGTAGACGCAAAAAAATGAAGTGATTTCAACGATATGTGATAAAAATCGGAAACGGGAAATTTCAGTTTCGGAAAGTGACGGTGTTTGGTGAGATCACAAAAAAAACTGGCTTAGCAAAAGTTATGTGTCAAAAGGGAAAGCAGACTTTGGACAGATAAAGTTTTTGTCAAAAACGAATGTGTCCTTGGATTAGATTGGATTTGAAAAATCTAGCAATTACAAAAAAAAAATTGGGTAAGAATGGTAAGCTAGAACTAGAGTTGTGGGTACCTTTCGTGTGTCTCGTAGGAAAAAGCGGCATCTGGCACACAGAAATATTGAGTGGTTAAAAATGGCTTTGGCTTTAGTTTTGACCTTGAAAGTTGCTCCAATAGTCGATAGCTTGGGCTCCATATAGTGAAGTGCACTTTGAAGCCGCGAAACTCGACTTGAAACGCCAAAATGGTTTTACCTCTAGTTTTGACCTTGAGAAGTGCCCCAATAGTCGACAGCTTGGGTGAAGTACACCATAGAAGCTACTTTGAAGCCCCGAAACTCGACTTGAAACGCCTTTTCCCAAGCTCTCGTTGTGTTTTTCGGAATCTACGCTTAAAATTCACAAATGAATAGACCATTTGTGGTTATTCAAATGGTCTATTCACAAATGAATAGACCATTTCAGCAATGGAACACAACGTTGGGCACGAGTGCCTCGAACTATGCTGCAAAATGCATCTTCCTGACGCACTCGGGCACGCCTGGAGTCGGCGAGAATCTTTATGTCACTTCATCGAGTGTCGTCACTGGATTGGGTACCTATACTTGAGAACTAAACGAGTCACACGTTTCTTGTACCCTTATAACTTTTGAGGAGCTGCTGCTAGTAAAGCATGGGCTGACGAGTTCTACAACTATGGGCCACAGGGATACACTTTCTCAAGCAAAACTGGACATGCCACGCAAGTGAGTGAAGGCAAATTATTTCACATATCTTAGGCACTAACACATTTGAATAATAATTCGCCAACGATGGCCCTTTCCAGATGGCCTGGGCGACCACAAAAACGGTGGGATGTGGGTATGCCTTGTGCAAGAATGGACCATCCGGCTTCACAAGCTACACCAATGTCGTCTGTCAATACTACCGACAGTGAGTTTATTAAACAGTTAGAAAAAGTTGATTTAAGTTGCATCGCTCAAGATTTAGGAGTGAGTCCCCGCAAATAATGAATGAAAAGAATTGTAAGCTTTCTTGTTTTTTTTTCCCAGATTCATTCCCAATGTTGTGATCGTTTTTCAAAGGATGAAATGATTGCAGAAATCTTTAAATATAATGGTAGAGAAATGATAATTTTTCCCAAGAACGAATTTTCAAAAAACAAGTTTTCCAATAAAACTATGCACCTTTTAAAAGCTCTTTACCGGCTATAGACTCAAAGACGACTCAAAGATGACTCAAAGACGAAAAAGAGTTCGGATAAACTCTCTTGTGTGATGCAAGAAAAAGAAGGCATGGAAAGATCTGGGGGAAAGATGGCAAAAGCAGATGAAGGGTCAGTCAAATATTTGACTAAACGGGATTTTGACATTCGAAATTTGAAATGAAAAGAGGAGTAGACGTCTGGACAAAATGGGGAGATTAGTCACAAAGCAGAGAGCATCAAAAAGCGAAATGAAAGCGTTTGCTTTGACGCAATAGAACGGTTCAAACTGGTCAAATCTCTGAAATCTGATCGAGACATTGACCATTTTGAACTTTAAAACGGTTCTAGAAAGATCAAAAATTGATAGAAAAGTCTATTTGTTGAGCAATTCAAGCAATTGATATCTTTGTTGCAATTTAAATTTGAGATAAAATTTAAAGAAGATAAGATAAGACTAAATCTAATTCAAGATCAAGTACCTACCGTAAATACTGTAATAGTACCCCACCCCCGTCTTACAGTCGCGTAGTCGCAAAAGTTTTTTAGTATTTCATTTTTTTCAAAGCACCCTTACTTTCAAAAAATGCGTCTTTGGTATCAAAAAATAGCCCTGAATTTCAGCTATTTTTTGATACCTAAGCGCGCATTGTAGCATAAAACAGTGTCGAGAAAAACTCGTTCAAAGCTAGACGACGCAGCACTCCGCACCGTCATTATGGGCGGTGGGGTACTATTACAGTATTTACGGTACCTGTTGCTGTAGTCGATTACATTACAAACAAACTATGCCTGTGAAATCGATAACTACCGTAAATACTGTAATAGTACAGTCGTACAGTTCGTAGTCGTTTCATTTTAAAGCGTCCGTACTTTCAAAAATATCCCTGAATTTCAGCTATTTTTGTGATACCTAAGCGCGCATTGTAGTGTTGAGAAAAACGCGTTCAAAGCTAGACTACACAACACTCCGCACCGTCATTACAAGGGTGGGGATTATTACCGTATTTATAGTATAGCTAACAGCTGCCTGAAGATCTTTAGCTTTTTAATCAGAGTTTAAAATAACCTACAGTAAACCCTAAAAACACCCTACAATAGTAGCTGTAAGACGGGAATATTGAAGATTATTTTTAAAACTGACTAACTAAAGGTATTGGATTGGGTATTCAGCTATATTGGATGAAAAGGGACTACCGTATGTCGATAAATATCTACTTTTCTAGGTGATAAGTTTACAGAAAATGAAAATAAAGAAGCAAAAATGCTCAAAAAGCAAAATGATCTCAAAATGATGAGCACACAATTTCTGATTGCATTCTCGAGCATGCTTTGATTTTGTGACGTAGTCATTGTGGTCCTTTTTCTTTTCTCGATCAAAACAAGAAAAGAAAAGACAGCCACCCCTGGACATTGATGCAAATTTCGCCGACAAACCGTCTCTGGGAAAGAAAAAAGAGGAAAAGATGGAATTGCTGAAGAAAATGGTCAAAGTTTATGATCGGCTACGAAATATAAAAGATTAGATAGAGAATAAAATTTCGAGTTATTGCGCTTTCTAAAGCTTGCTATCGTCAAAAGCTACAGTAATCTTATTTGTAGTTTTATCTAATCTACTATCTACTTTCCGCATCTTTCTGTATACTTTGTGAATCCTAACAAAAAAACCAAGAAGCACAGAATAATTGCTTGGATAAAAACTAGAGTCACAGTTAATATTCAAATGATTTCAAAAATTTAACACGCTTTAGAAAACATTATCATTTAACACGTTCGGGACGATTCGGTCCACCGGTGGACGAAGGTCGTCTGGCCCCTGGGACGATTCGGTCCACCGGTGGACGAAGGCCGTCTGGCCCCTGGGACGATTCGGTCCACCGGTGGACGAAGGCCGTCTGGCCCCTGGGATGGTTCGGTCCACCGGTGGACGAAGGCCGACTGGCCCCTGGGATGGTTTGGTCCACCGGTGGACGAAGGCCGTCTGGCCCCTGGGACGGTTCAGTCCACTGGTGGACGAAATTTTTGACGCGCTATAACTTCTCAACTTTTTAAGATAATTTCAAAATGTAAAAAGATTCGATTAGTTTTTTTTGAGGCAGCAATGTTTTCAAAATATGATTAGAGATTCGGATTTAGTATGAAATTTTACATATAGGAGGTGCATTTCGGGGCTAATAGCTTTGCGTCCACTGGGGCAGTAACGCAAAAAAACGCCTCGTCGCGAATGTGTTAAAAGGAATTTAGTTTTTAGTAGAGCAAATTAAGGACGAGTTTTGGTGCTTCAAATTTTGAGTTCAAGAGTCTTGAATCAAAACTACTTTCAATAAGATCCAGAACTTAGATTCAATCGATTCAAATTGATTTGAATTCATAGATTCAAATCGATTAAAGTTTACAAATTTCATAAAAAGTGAGCTTCCTATTCGAGTTCTTCAAATTCTAACAAAGCCAGGCAATTTTTTTGAGTTTTGAAAAGCGGAAAGATTTCAATATCAACTCAACGAGAGAAAAAGATCCCATTATCAATGGAAAAGTTCAGAGAAACCACCGAAAAAAAACGGGCTCAAAAATCATTTCCCAGAAACAAACAAAAGAGAGATCGAGAGAAATCATTGCTTTTGAAGTGGGGGATGGGCCTTTTTTTCCGGATGGCCATAAAAAGGTGAGGCATGTCTTTCTGCTTTTTTCTTTTCTCAACTCTTCCGCTCGTTTTCACGTGGCTTTTCCCCAAGTGAATGAGTGTCCGAACGTATGGATTGTTTTTTTTGGCGAAAACCCCTCACTGACGTGATTTGTGTGAGAGTCACGTTTTGTGGCTTTTCTAGTGTTTGTCATGAATTTGTGAATAGATTGTAGACAAGAGTTCGGGGAAAGCAACTTTCAATCAAAGCTGAGTAATCAATCACCTGGACAATAGTTGCTCAAAAATTGTTTGCAAAAATCGAAGAAAATTTTTCTAGAATTCACCTTTTATTGCCACTGTAAACTGGTTTAAATCTTGTCAAGAGAATCACAGAAAAAGAAAAAAGCATCGCAAAAATGCAAAAAAGAAGACGACAATATGTTTAAAAAGCAAGAAATTTAGGGCTCATTTCGTTTCAGTCTTTTTGTTCGCTTCAGGCTTGTTTGTTTCAGGCTTGCTCGCATCAGTCTTGTTCGTTTCACTCACCGACGTATCACTCATCGATTGCACCGGTAGAAGAGGCTTGTGACCCGACGAGATCGATGCTTCCGAGATCTGTAAAAGAGGAACGTTCAAAAGTCCAATAACCAAGTTCATCTTAAATTACTTGCTATCAAAGTATCACCTGCTTGGGTATTGTGCGAACGGTGTCGGCGGAGTCGGTGAGGAAGGGGATCCTAAGAAAATATTGATTCACCGACTCAAACAATCAAAAGCTCTAAAAGCAGAATTTGCTAGATAGGCTGATGGAAATGAATAAAACCAATAAGGAGTTTGTAAAAATTCCTCACTTAAGGTAATGCTGAATCCAGAGAGCCTCAATCGAATCGTTGGTTGTCCAAGCAACCACCTGAATAAAGAGTAGTTCAGAGGTATTCTAATATGCAAGTTATAAATTTTACCTGAAGTCCATGATAACGAGCGTGACTGACGAGCATGCTAAACAAAACGATTTATGAATTGACTATAACAAGTTAAAAATCGCTTTCAAAAACTCACTGAGACAAATCGTGATGATTGACGAGCAGCATGTCGACACCAAGGAAAATCGGCAGAAAGAAGTGAGCGGTCATTTGATTATTAAGCTCAAGAAAAAATAATTTCTCATAGTGAAGCTTAAATCAACCTCATCAGCAATCTCCATTAAGCCATTCCAAAGGAAACTGCGCTTCGGACTGAAGTCGAACTAAATAAGAAACTAAACTAAATTAAATTAAATGAAAATTGATCAATAATTAAATAAAAGCAAAAATGCAAACCTCTGCTTGGGTCGAGAAGCAAAAGCGACGCCATGTGTAACCTGTAAAGAACGCATGTTAAATAAGAAAATTGTACGGTCAGATAGCTATTCTAAAGTATTACAACACCAAAATAAGTTTGCCTCACCTGTGAGAATTCTCGGATCACGCCGCTTGATGAAGTAAGGCACTAGCGGGTTAAAGCTGCTAACGATAGCCGTCTCGTAAAGGCGAAGACGCTTGAAAAGCATCGCGATCGTCTTCATTACCTAAAAAAAATTAGCGATTTTTCCGATTAAAACGAACCGCCCCATTAAAATGTTTCACATCAAAGAGCATCTTGATCGAATTTTTCTTACACCAATCAACCGTCTCCGAGAGTGTCGGCACACGACCACCAACACGAACTGATCCGCCACTAAAAATGAGATCTTGAACATTTAAAGTAAGAAAAACCAACTACGGTGGCACGAATTTCAATTTAAGATCCTTAATCTCGTTCAGCGTCTTCTCACGAATGCTCCATTGCTTGTCGGTGGTTCTAAAATATTCAAACTTAGAAGGTTGCGGACAAAATTTCAGATTTGAGATGAGAAACCTCTAGTTTTAATGTAGACTATTACCGCGATTTTAAAATTTTTTCAATCTTAAAAATAAAAAAATCGAAATAAGCTCCCGCCTGTGAGTGGTTTCATCGTGCATAATGATGAGAATCGAGTCTTTTGTGATTTCGATGTCAAACTCTACCAATTGGCATCCATCTCGTTTGCACTAAAAAGACAACATTAACTACTAAACTTCAAATTATTTAAACACTATCAAATGACTCAATGCTGTTCTCGGCTTCTTTCCAAGGGGAGCCCCGATGACCACCGATGATGATCCCAGTGAAGAATGACATTGACTAAAAACACAGTTAAAACATGGTCAGTTTTATCAAAAAACTACTTTACTGTAAGCCAAAGTTTTTAAACTTTTAACTTTTAACAAAAATATGCGTCAGCCACGTCATTCAACTGCACATTAAAAGAATTGTGAACTTTTACATTCAATCTACTACTACCAAATCACAAAAAGACATTACCTGTGCCGGCGGGCATTTGCTATTCCTGAACAAGTAGAAGACTGCGGTGAAAATGAGCGGAAGCGATGAGATCACATAACGAGTTGAACATGTCGAAGAAGTCAGCGTTGAAAGCACTAAACAAATCGTATTACAAACGGGTTCTGACACTGGACAAAAGAATAGAATCGAGAAATAAGTAAAAGAAAAACAACTTACGAGAAATAGCGAGTATCGCCGCCCAAAGTGGGTGCATTTGCAAGAATAATGAAAAATTGTTCGACTTTCGTGGTTTAAGAGGAATTTGTGTGCTAAATTTCGATTTTAAAACGCAAATTTAATAATTTATTTTCTTCGCCTCTCATTTCAATTTCTAGTCACCTGACTATGAGTAAGAACGTTCGGACATTTTGTGAGATTCGCTTTTAGAATTCAAATCATTCTGCCAGTGCTGAAAGTGTTAGAAAGCCAAGCATAACGGTGCACAACGCGTCAAAAAAAAAATGCCTTGGAAACAAAAATCCGTATTCGGACAATTCTTAGTTGTTGTCCAAACAAGAAAAATCCCCTACTCACAAAAAAGTTATTACGGCGTAAAGTTTTACGAACAAAATGTTAAGGAATTCGTCAAAATTTTGATTTATCCTATTTTTCTCATATTCACGCCGCAAGAACGTGCCAAACGGTGTATTACAAAGTTGTAGCCCTGGTTCTACTCTTTCGAACAATACCCTTGCCATTTCTCTGCATTTTGTTCGCGATGAATTCTGAGGTTTTTCCCGGCGTCACTTTTAGACAAATATAGGGAAGAGTGCCCATTTCAGGACCGCAGAAGCAAAATTGAGTTCCTAGGTGTTGTTATTCTGAATCTATATTAAAAAACATATTGGTTTGTTCCTAAAATAGTTTTTTATACAGACAATTCCGTGAGAGAATTTACATAGATCTGCCAGATAAGAGTCGAGAAGGCGTCATGAATAGAGTATGTTCCTCAAGAAAGAGTGCAAAATAGGAAACGAGTGCATTTAAAATAAACTGAATATCTTACAAATTGTACAAGATATTCATGATATTCAGTTGATTGACTGATGCGTTCCCTATTTCACACTATTTCTTGAGAGAAACACACTCTAGTCATGAATGTCAGAAGAAACACAATCTATTGTATTCCTACATTTATTTATTGTATTTATTGTATATTAACGTATATTATAAAACCTTATTATGAAACAATTTTCAGATGGCTCGACCAACAAAGAAGGTGCTTTCAAGGAGACATAATATAGAAGGTGGTCGTCTCGCAAACCTCAACATACCGAGCTCCAGTCAACGGCGGAACTCAAAAGCTGTTCAAGCCGAGCCTGTGAAGAAAGTCTTGAAGAAACGCCCTGATGTAAGCCAGCCCTTTGATCAAGTACAGCATTTGGAGAATGCTCGCCAACGGCGAGCTGAGAAAGCTGACGAAAAGAAATCACAGGAGAAAGCGAGACAAAACGCTGTCTTAGTGACACAACTGGAGAAACAAGTGACCAATTCGCAAAGCAGTCAGTCCGTACCAGCAACACCAAGGCGATCAGCTTCTCCCGAAAAGGCATTAGCACTCAAAAGAAAAGCAGGGGGTCTCAGACCGCGGATTTTCTAAGATCAACACGTTTGTGCGGAAGGCTTGTGATTACCTCATCGGATCTAGCAGACAGTTGCGCTCATGTCGGAAAAAGCTTGAAGAAATTGTGGAATACGTAATTCACGGCGATAATGAAAACGAAGACGACGAAAGCGGACCCAAAAAAAGAATACGCCTCTTGAACGTGGGGAGGGTGCTAGTGGAATGGGAAAAGCGCTTGAAGTTGGACTCAGATCAAAAGAAAATCGTAGTGTTCTCTCTTGATAAAGGCCATAAACGAGTCATGGCTACGGTCTCATATCGAAACAGCAAAAAGCCGTGCTTGGTTTTTAACTTTCTCCCATTGATCGTATGGGAAGACCCGGATAATTACTCAGAATTGCAAGAAAGAAATGTGGCTGACTATTATGAGCAATTGACGAAGATGGGCTACGAAGTCTTACTTGGTGGAGACTTATTATTTTTGACAACAAATGCTGGCCTTAGAAATGGGATGCGATTCAGCTGTCTTTGGTGTTCGCAAGAGTTCGACAAAGGCAAGAACAAAGACAATGATTCGATCGATTTCGTGAAGCACCCGCCACGAAGCAAGGCTTTGGAGGATATGATTGCAACTTTAAAGCTGGTCCCCAAAAAAGATGACGTCATCCCGGTACCAAGAAACATGGTTATTCCACCGATCCTTCACACCAAGATCAAGGTGGGCAACTATTTGTTTGAAAAAATGCTAGCTTTGGAAGGATCATCAAAGGCGTTCAAGCAAGTTGTAAAAAACGACATTTGACTGCGAATAGGAAAGAGGAATTATTCATTTACAATGGATAAATTTTTTTATTGATCGGTGGCCATTAATTCGTGACGACAATTCGGTTACACGTCACGTGCAGCCAACATATGGGACTAAATAAATCCAATATAAATGATAAAAATTGTATAAAGTTCAATGTTAACACAAAATGTAAAATTAAGCAAGCTTTTAGACTGGAAATTTTGCTGATTTGTAGTGACTAAGCATTTTTCAAATGACAAATTTAAAATAATTGTTAAAAACCAATGTCATCGTACTAAGCTCTAGCATCTTGGGGCAATTGCACATTGTTTCTTCAGCACGGATAGTTCTCCGAGGAGATCTAGAATCTAAAGCATGAAATAATGAAAATGTTGATATTTACTTTGATAGGGGTAAAATTACTCAACATAATATAACTATCGAACATTTTATCGAATTAAACAACAAACCTTGCGCATCGGGATTAGCGCGGAGGCGTTCGAAACAACGATCTATAAAAAAATCCTTGGTCTCGACTTTATTTTCCTTCTCGTTCTCTTCTTGTTTGATGGTATCTAAAATAATATTTTAATGGTCGTTAGCTTCTCCTCATGTGTTTGAAAGAAATTTAAGCCTAGTCTAGTTAGATTAGGTCAAAAATTACTCTTTTGCATAGGTATTTCATTTTGCTTCAACAAAAATTGAAACTCAAAGAGGTAAAAGTTTGCCATTGTCTAGTTTAAAGCTCAATTTCTTAAAGCACATGAATAGGTAACTCAATAAGTGCAAGTAAAACCCTTACTTTGCGTATCGTTTGCTTGGCTGTTCTCAATTTGTTCGCCATTTCCCACTCAATTGTTTGGCGCTTCCTTGTTGTCAGCCATATTAGCCATCAGCTCGTATGTGACAGAACTAAAATAAAGAACTAAAACAAAGAACTAAAACAAACAAACAAAAACAATGAAAAAATCCAAATGTGTAAAAACGAACTTTTTGAGAAAAAAACTGGAGAATGAATGAAATGAAATGGTTTTGGTGAGAATGTTTTATTTATTCCACATTTAAACGCAAATTTTGAGATTCAAAATCAAAATTTCTTTAGTGAGTGGAAAATTCTTGTTTCCTCGCTAAAACTTCCTCGATTGTGAGATTTTGATAAAGACTATTACTAATCTATTCTGATGAACTTCTGCTGTCATATAATATCATATATTTTTGAGGTCATTTCCGTGGTATTTCCCATTGATTGCTGAGTTGCTTGAAGTAATCATCTTGAGTGGCGCCCAGGTACATTTGCTGAAAATCGATAAAGAAATCTAGAGATGAAATTGAAATTGAAATGAAATGAAATAAAAAGAAAGAAATCGATTCTTGGCTATCGGAAATAACACAGTTAAACTATTACACAGTTAAATAGATCTAAATTACTTCTACTCACTAATACGTGTACAGGTTACAGTAATCCCATTGGTTTATTAGGATAAGTATCTGCCAAGTTTGTGTTCAGTTCTTGTGAGTGGGTTACGGCAAGTAAAGGCTTTTTTAGATTTTCGGAAAAGTTATTGATCATAAACTACAGTCCAACCTTTCCCATTGGATCCAAAACGATCTTCGCTTCTGAAATCTCCATTTCGCTTTCCTTTCGCGCGTCAGGTGTAATCAAAGGTCTTCTATAGCACCTGCGAGCGAGGCTAAATGAGAAATGTTATCTCATTCCCCTTTTTTCCAACTTGAGCTTTCGAAAAAGTTGAGTGAGTGTATGTTTGGAGAGATTGTACCACTCACGATTTGTCAAATAACCGAGGAAACTCATAAGGAATACATAGCTGAATACAGTAATACAGTATCTCTATTTCATAATTACAGTATTTACTCACATAGCAAATTTTAGATCCAGTATAGCTCCAATATAATTCTTCGTTTCCCACGAAATATTCGCTGTGAGATAAAAGATGAAAGTTGCGCCAAGAAATGAATGAGAAATAACTGTGTAGATGATGAGAACTGTTAAAACCTGTGAATTTTGACTGAGTCATCAAATTTCAGGCAATATACCCGAAAAGCTTTTACATTCTCCGTTATTTGATATCGTTTCGCTAGGGAATATCCGGATTTTCTCCAATGCAGCAGTAACTGTTTTCGCTTGAGATCGTTTTTCCGGAGGATCCATAAAGCCATCTAAATTTATGATAACACCAGCCGAAAAACCCAGCTAACGGCGGGTTTTTCTGGCTGGATGTTTTTGGGCTGACGCATAGACGCCGTGGCGCAGTCGGGAGCGCGCTTGTCTACGGCCTACACGATCCCGTAGTGCCACTCAATTTTGAATTTTCAAAGCCTTTATTTTAAACGGCATCACTACAATATATTCTAAGGTTTTCTAAAGAAGTTTTAGTTTTATTGGTCAAAACACGGCCGAGAAAATGCCCGTACAGACGGGCGGACAAACACTGCTCTTTTATACAGTAGATGATCAAAGCCAGACTTATTTTTACTGGGATTACTCTGATTATAACCGTATAAGACTTTGAATTAACTGTAAAACAAAGTGTACTTACCAAAGAAAACGGTAACGCATGACCAACAGCCCAAATGGTGGACATCAACTGTGATAGACCACCTAAATCCGATCTCGTTTTGACGATGTACAACAGTTACCAAATGTGAAAATAACAGCTTCCCAGGCGGCTGTGGTAATTGTAACGGTCATAATTGTGACAGAAACCTTTCGGTACGGCTAAACATTTTTGTAAGGAGCCCAGTTCATTTTAAATTTGCAACGAAAATATCTGTCGGCCCTTTTTGCCGTTTGGAATTTAAAGTTTTTTGTGTTTTTCTCAGCATCAACCCTTCGATTTTGACTATTTTGACTATCATTCGATGCGGAAAAAATTGCACGTCAAATGATGCCAAAATTAACTCAAAATGTAATATCCATGCAAAGTTATGAGGGCAAAAGGTTAAGTCCCACCCGTAATGGGCGGCGTTTAGGTTTTTAGCCAACAACTTTGCGTGGATATTACATTTTGGGTTAATTTTGGCATCATTCGCCGTGCAATTTTATTCCGCATCGAATGATAGTCAAAATACTCAAAATAGAAGGGTTGGTGCTGAGAAAAACTTTAAATTCCAAACGGCAAAAAAGGACCGACAGATATTTTCGTTTCAAGTCAATTTCATTTTGTACCTTTGTTGAGTAAGTCTCCGCGTGCACCACTGCAAAATAGCGTTCGGCCATCAATGAGCCGATGCACACTGAAATTTTCTGAATTGAGCTGAACTTATTTTGTGCCTAAAAAATGGAACAATAGTTTTTTTGGCATATTGAATTCAGTTTTAGAAAAACTTTAGTTAAATTGGAGAATCAGATATGTTTTTGAATGTGTTTATTCAAAGATGAAGCTGCACAATTTCTACTACTTCTCTTCACTTTCTTCCTAAAACTGAAAACTCATTGCACTAGAAAGGATGCGTTTCCGTTTTGAGCACAAAGTACATATCACAATCTTTCATCTACCGTATTCCCTGCAAGATTTATACCATTACTATAGCTTGAAATTAAGAAATCTACAGTATCCAAACTATAAGATATTCATGTGACTTCTTTCAGTAATTCTTTAAATTATCAAGGACAAATTTGAGCTTACAAATTCCAAGGGCTATCACATAGGTTCGAATAGCCGACGCTATTATAAGCCCTGTTGGTGGATCCGGTTGATCTAAATAGGCTTTGAGTTTAATCACAATTCCTGGGGGTTGGACAAATGCGACCTTTTTTTGCGCACCTGGACATTTGCGCACCTTTTTTTTTTGCTGGAAAAGGCCTTAGGAAAGGTCGTAGAGCTTCAAAAATGTTTTCATAGAAGGGAATCGTATGCGTAGATTTCGAATTTCGACAAATCACACCTCGCTGACACGTCAAATTTGGGCTAAAAGGCAAAAACTGCGGAAAAGCGTGAAGTTGCGTAGTTTTTGCCTTTTAGCCCAAATTTGACGTGTCAGCGAGGTCTGATTTGTCGAAATTCGGAATCTACGCATACGATTCCCTTGTATGGAAACATTTTTGAAGCTCTACGACCTTTCCTAAGGCCTTTTCCAGCAAAAAAAAGGTCGCATTTGTCCCACCCCCAATTCCTACAATCGCAATCAAGCTTCTCAAAATTTTACCGACAACATTGTCCCCAATAATTTGCATTTGATAAAGAAAAATGACAATCCGAGAAAACATGAACCCGTATGAGTGGACCATACCAGAAGTGAAGATGACAACGAGATTCCGATGAAAAACCTAGACAATTGAACAATTGACAATTGGAAAGACAATTGAAGAACCTTTAAACAAACCCTTTACTACTTTTTATGCATTCAGAAATGCTTTTTCATGTGCTCTGTACTCATAAATTGCAAACAAATCCTTCCTAGCGCACTTAATTCTTTCATTTTCTCAAAGCAACGATTTGAAATCGCGACTAAACGAAGAAATGAGTGCCCCAGAGAGGATTTGTTTACAAATTTGAGGACTAGTATGAACCTTTAACTCTTTAAAACAATTTTAGCTTACTTGTGTCTTAAAGCAAATATAAAGTGAGCACGGGATCCATAACATTGTCAAAATCATTACAAAGAGCTCCACACAAAAGAGACACCAAATGATCGTCTGTTGATTCGCCGCGTACATCACTCGAGAATTCACGTACAAATGGATATTGTAAGAGTTGAATAGTCCCAAATACGAAGCAATAAAACTCATAATCAATAGAATAAAAGATGAAAGAGTCAATAGAATTAAAGTTGACAAAATCATTGCGGCTTCAAAACTGGTCACATCAATAGTTTCCACCTGTTCTAGGAATCTTGGTAAAGGTATAATTTGAGGCGGAAAAGCAGCTTCCTTGACTTTGTTTTCATGTAAAATTTACAATAATCTTTGAGCGAATGTGAATTTTTTTAGAAAATCATTATTTTGCAGCTAAAAACTACTCTAAATAGAAGAAGGAAACCTACTTACTATTCGATTTTTAATGAAATTTAGTATCCAGTTGGATTCTTGAGGATTTAGAATTATTAGGCTGAAAGTTTTTTCGTTCCTTTTCGTATTTCCGTTCAAAAATAACAAATTCACCAATTAACCTATGGTTTACTCTAAATAAAAAGTGTTTATTGCTTAATTTCCCATCTTTTTAAGTCAATTTTGGTTCACTTTCAAGCAAATTCGAGAGTGAAAACACGTGTTTTTTGTAAAAAGCTATAAAAATCTCTACGAAGAAATCGGGTGAATGAATTTCTCTGAAAATTTGGCTATATATCTAACTTTTTATACTCTATCTTTTATCTATTGAATAAAAGATAGATTTCCTTAGCTAAAGTGTCTAAACCACATCATCGAACCCTGTTTGACTGCCCGACTTCACGCTCTCAAAAAAAAATCCAGACATAAGACATTTTAAACGCGTTTTAATGTTATTTTGCAGAAAAATAATTGGCCTTTCTAATGAAACAAACCGTAGTTCAATTAGTGCATTTGTCGGTTTTAAACGGAAGTACGAAAAGGAACGAAAAGACTTTCTGGACAGCCTAATAGTAACGAAAATCAGTGAACTTTTAAAAGTTCTACTGTTTCTACTGTTTCTGAAACCTGTTTCAAAAATAGCCTTGACATTAAACTTTGAGCACAGCTTTGAACCCCGACTTATTTGCGGTATCGGTCAAGATCTCGTTGCACTTTTCAACAATTGCTACAACAATTGCTACAAAACAAAATATAGCTTTTTTTGTATAGCAAAACATAGCAAAACATAATTATTCCATTTCAGAACTGAAGTAACACTTCAACCTTTGAAAGGTACCGAAATCACCTCCAGCTTTTCTACTTTTTGTGGCTTTTGGTGTCCTTCATGAACTTTTAGACAAAAAAGAGGATCGAACAAAAACTGAGGCAGGATTACGGTGGGTCGTTTTAGGCCGTTAAAGGCCGTTTTAGAAAACGCTTTTAACGCTAGTAAGAAAAAAATGAGTCTCATCTCTCTTTACTCATCTATAAAAGTTATTTTCTCACATTAGTCTTTCTTTTAACTTCTGTGCCAAGCAATTCATCTAGATCTATCTTGGTGATGAATTGGATGAATGAATGCGTTTTGGGCAAAGATATTCTTTGAAAGAGCTAGGGAGAAGGATCTAAAGTGGCCCCAAATTTCCTCAAAGCCCCATCATTTGTATTCCCGCGTATTCGCTGATGGTTGAAAAAGGCCGTCTTTTTCTTGTCATGGCTCGTATTTCCTTTGCATCACCCAAGAAAATTTTGTGGTTTCTGCCCAATCTCCTTTCGATTCATATCTATTTTTTCGTGCGCACAGAGAAAAAAAAAATTCTCACCCAATCCCAAAGTTTCGCAAGTTCTCTAAACGTTGGAATTTGTGTTCAGTGTAAAAATTTGATGATTTGGTGCATCGATCAAATCGTTTATAATTGTTGTTTATGAAGTTTATAAAGCAAATCGTTTATAAAGCCAGCGCTTTACTGATTGATTCTGATAAAATTAAACAAAAAACTTGCGATTTGAACTTTTCTAATTTATTTATCCTTCCTGGCATTTCTAGCTCAACACCTCAAAATGCTGATTTTGAATTTTCGTTTTTCATTTTGTGCGGTTGATCCAAATCTTCACCCATCTCGAGTTTTGATACAAAGAATCCGACTTGATTACCATTTTTCGTAATTTACATTTAAATCCTCGAGCAATATTACAAAATATGATTTGTTCGCAACTTTATCAATTCCAAAAAAAATTCTTTAAAAAGCATGACTCATTGAATTGTGATTGAAATTTCTTTAAAAAAACCCTCTCTTCCGGGTCTCATCGGGCTTATCGGGCCACTCCTTGGTGAAAGTCTAAACACTTTTTTATGTGATCGCCTTGAGGCGGCTGTTCGGAATAAACAAAGGATGGATGATCGCTTTGAGATCATTCACTATTTCCATTCACGCCTCAATCCATTTCTCGATCTCTAAATCCAATGACCCAATGGCTATTCTTGCTGTTTTGGATAGGTAATATAAAACTTGATTATTTGTAAAGCAACAAAATTTTGCCATTTTTGTGCATTTTAAAATGCAACTCAATCAATTTAAAAATGTAAATAAAAATTGATTAGAATTGGCTGAATCTTTAATGACACAAAAAGTTATAAAAGCCTTCTCCAGCAAAATCTAACTTCTAAAAGTCTAAGAAGCTGAAACCTTTGTGAATTCCATTATTTCAATTGTTTACCGCACTTGTCAACATTTAATATTCAATCTAGTCTCAGTAAAGCGCAAATCTTCAATGAAATTGTCATGACAACAAAAAAAGTTTGTTTTTCTTTCAATAGTTCAACTTTTTCTCTTACCTTTATCAGATTCTACTCTGGTTTTAGGAATTTGTCTCTCAACGGCCAACGCTTCGAAGCAGGATCCAACCACAACGATGGATACCGATGATTTTGCGAAACCGGACATCGAGGGTGGCCGATACAAGTAAGGCTTTAATTTGTTTTAATTCGTAAAAGCTTAATGAGAAGATCTCTAACTTTTCAGAGTAGTCCAATAGATAAAAATCATTGGCTCAAAAGTCTTTTAATCCTTGAAGTTTTACTTTATGTTAAACTAGGTATTAAAAGTTTAAAAGCCTGCGTTATAATACATTTTATTTTGTTTCACTGTCAAAACGACTCCTTTGGCCATTGGTACATTTAGATTTTGTATTGTATTACGTTTATACGTTCAATTATTTAGAAACCCATCATCGTTTGCGAATTGGGACGGCATCCCCGGCCCATCGTCTTTAATCAAATGGCGTCTCACCGAGAAAGACGAAAGCAAAATCCCCAGCGATGAAAAGGTAAATGATTTTGTTTTAGATTGGAACTAAACTTTCATTAAGGAATTGAACAAGACGATTCCCGTGATTCCAATGAAGTCCTTCGAATCTAACAGCTCCCTCTTCGCTTCGTGGCTTGGACACGCCACTGTTTTGGCTTCGGTTGATGGTGTAAAGTAAGGTTTATACTCTAATGGTGACTAGCAAGTTTTAATTGTTTGTGAGCACAAAAATGATCTTTCTATCACTTTAAATTGGAACTAAACTTTCATTAAGGAATTGAACATTCTATTTTTTTATTTTTTAGATTGATCACCGATCCAGTGTGGGCTCAACGAGTGTCGCCTTTTCCATTTGCGGGTCCACGCCGATATCGACCCCCTCCAATTGATATTGAGAATTTACCAGAGGTAAGGCGTTTGATAGTTTATGTCTTTTGATAGTCTATCTATTAAGTCGTCTGTCAAATTGATTCAAGTTTTAACTTTAGCTGGACATCGGGGTGATTTCACACGACCACTACGATCATTTGGATATTGATGCCGTGAAAAAGATTAACAGGTTGGTTGGGGCGTTAATATTGTTGGAGTTTAATTCTAATCTGTTAATTTAAGGCTAAACTTTTAATTTAGCCGTTTCCCCTCAATGCGATGGTTTGTGCCGATGGGAATGGGTGATTGGCTGAAATCACAAGGAATCGAAAGCGACGCGACGAATCGAGAACGGGTCACACAAATGTCATGGTAAATTAAAGATATCAGTTGATGCTCATTCTAGATGTTTGGATTTACAGATAAATTTTTAAATACACATTGATTTAGGGGCCAATCTAAAGAAGTTACGATAAGCGGGAAGAATTTCACAGTTTGGTGCATCCCGGCTCAACATTGGTGCCAGCGAGGACCATTTGATCGTAATAAGGTGTGTCAATTTAATTTTAATAATGCTTTAAATTTAAAAACGGTTATCATCAGAGTTATTGCTAATTTAGAGACTCTGGGCTGGTTGGATTGTGGAAGGGCCGACAAAGAAATTCCTCTACACTGGTGACACAGGCTTTTGCAACAGTGAATACGAAAAGGTATACGCGTTTCGGTTTTCTATAAATCTGTGGGGTTTCAGGTTGGGAAAAAGTTTGGTGGTATCGATCTTGCGGCAATTCCCATTGGATGCTATGCGCCGAGGTAGTCTTAAAAAAATAAGTCGATTTAACACACAAGTTTTAAATTGTTAGTTCAATTTTGTACCCCTTCCAACTCTTTACGTATTTTAATTGCTTATTTTAGATGGTTCATGAAATCACAACACATCGATGTGCCCGAAGCTATCAGCATTCACAAATTGATCAAAGCAAAAACGTCGATTGGTATTCATTGGGGAACCTACGAGATGGGATCGTACGAAGTAAGCGATATGAATTTAATAAGTACATCAAAGTTTGTCACGTACAATCTAGGCTAGTTGTGTATTTTTAAGGAGTAAGTAAAGTATAAAGCAAATATAGTAAATTTGCTGAATAAACTGCTTACTTGGGTTTGCATAATTGATATTAGAATCTCTTTTCTTTTCAGTTCTACCTGGATCCGAAACAATGGCTTGAAAGAGAATTGAAGAAAGAAAGCGGAGGCGACACGAAATTCATCACCATTCCGATGGGTTCAATTTGGGAAGACAAGCCGAATCCCTCCACAAAATCATCCGAGTAATCATTTTGTTTATCCTTTTTACGTTGTTTATCCACAACCACAATTACCCTAAAGTCTCGAGTATAAGTTCATCCGAGTATAAGTTCTGCCTTAATTTACATTCGCTTTAATTGCTTTGAATTTCTTTTTGTTGGGTTTTTATACATTTTTATTGTTATATAAACTTTTATTATGGTTCTTGGAACGCGGGATACTACAGGGTGACAGCCTATCACCATTGCTATTTGTTATGTGCATGGATACATCCAGACGATAGTGTTGAAGAAGACGATGGAAAGCATCTCTTTCGACCGTCGACGTGGACTTTGGCCGGATGAAGAGGCCAGGGAGGGATCCATAAGACTGAGCACCGGAGAGGAGCAGGGCGGACGCGCCGAGCCACGCCCGGAGCAACAAATAACAGCATAAAGCACAGCATGCTATAACCCTCAATAAATTTACTTCTATTATTGTTCTTAAAAAGCAAAAAGTTATGCTGCAGCGGGGTTCGAACCCTCGACACACCGCACCGGAGACAGCCGTCAATTTGCATGCGAAAACCAAACAGAACTTATACTCGCGACTTTAGGGTACGTGTTTATCCTTTTTGCGCTTATTTGCATTGTGATATATTATATGCTTTAACCTAATAATAAATTTTGCCTAAACTTGTAAGCAGAGTTTTAGAAAATCATAGGTGAAACAGCGAATTTTCAGGTTCAACTTTTGACTTTCTCACGGCATAAACTCGAACTGAGCAACTTTTCAAACTCTGTCTGTTGTTTCCTAGAATTTTGCAAAAATCAAGTTATTAAATTTTCATTCAATGACATCTAATTAGCTTTTCTTTGAAACTGGTTTTCTGTTCAGAGAACTGAACAGAAAAAGGGCAAATAATTCGTTATCAGACGGGCACAGGTACAATATTTTGTAGTCTTTTCTCGGTGCATTGATTCTTTTCTTGGAACTTTTGCAAACTGCCTTATAAAACCCACTTTAATAATTGGCTTTTGAACAAAACTCCAGTAAAAACTTGCCTAAACTTGTAACCGTTTAAAAACTAGCTTTTTGTATAGATTTTTGTCGGTATTTATAGTTTCCGCGTGTTCTTCAAGACATTTAATCTTTAGCAGAATAGCTGTAGAGCTGGAGAAATATCGAAAAATCAATTTCTCAGCTCAAGCATCGACTTAAAAATGCGTCAATCACTAGATTTGTAAAATATCATCTTTGTTTTAATCTTAATCTGTCAAAATCTGTAAAAGATGATTTGTTGGGGTGAAGCAAAAGTGAAAATTCACCGAGCAGAACTTAAACGTCATTCTGATCTTGCCCAAAAATGATTGTAGTCAACAAATTGTGCTTTGGTCGATAGAAAGACAAAAAGAAACTTTTTCTCTCATATTCAATGGGTAAATAGACGTGGAAAATCGATTCAGTGTGGCCAAACTCCTCTCCTTTTCCCTTTTTCCCATTCCCGATTATCTCCTAGGTGACCTTGTACTTTGAAATTTTCATGTTACTTCTTTTTTTTTGACTGCTCATTTTCAGCTTCTCCACTACAAACTAGGTTTTGTGCAAAAAAACTTGACAATTATTCGAAATCAACTTTTCTTTGGAACATTTTTGTTTCAGCGTCGAACTCGCGAATTCTGCAAAAAATTTCATTTAAATGTGAAAGATCCAAATTTATCACAATTTGCGCTTTTCACTTGAAAATTGTCAAACGAATTTTGGTATTTGTTCTGATTTTTTTTTTGCTTTTCACCCTGAGCTTCCGTCGGCAATCTCACTTTCATCGGAAATTTGATTCCACAAGTTTTAACTCACAATTTCTGCTCATAGAAATCATTCGGAGTTGATGAATTCATTGCTGAAAAACTTGACTTGAAATTGGTCAAATTTTGCTTCTTTTCCGTTTCTGTGCTATCGAAAAACTTTAGGCGAAATGAGATTGAGCCGAAAAATCATCTATAAGGAGTAAATAAAGTATAGTGTAGTAGATTTTCGATAAATTGCTTACTTGGGTTTGTCTGATATTAAAACGGATAACCTGAATCGAAAACTGCTAAAACAGTTATTTTTTGTATCCAAAACTTGCTCCTGGTAGTTTTAAAGATTTAGTTTCCTAAAGCTTTGAGATAAATTGAATCAAAAATAGCCAAATTTTCTAGTGTTTCTATTCAGCTTTTACGCTCAAATTCTTGATCCCGCCATGGTTGAGTGGTTAGGAGTCTTGTATCCTAGTCAGGAGGTCACGGATTCAATCCCAGCGGCTAGAAAATTTGGATCTTTTTCCATATACATGGGTTTTTCTCTCAACTACCTTTAGGGGTAGGGGTTCTGGGTTGAGTTCTGTATTTGTTTGTGTTACACTATTCATATTGAATAAATGTATACTTTTCCCTTATTCGTGCTATTTTTGGAAACAACTGCTTGAACACCTAGTTGGGGGAAATCTCAGAATGAACACGAAAGTGGAAAAAGTGAAAGATGAGCCATCCAGTTCCCGATTGGAAGAGCCCGAGGAGTTGCCCGATTTGCCCGACTCGACCACCGAATTTCTGAGTTGTTTGGTGTGCGGACGAACACCTGGGTTTCGCTTTTATGGATCGATTTGTTGTTAGTGAGTTTTAGTTATCATCTGTCAATCAACATTTTCAAGAATTCCCCAAATTCCAGCTCTTGCAAGTCTTTCTTTCTTCGGGCCGCCATCACGAAAAAGCAACTCCATTGCCCGACATCTGGGTGTAATTTTTGTGAGTTTTCAAAAACGAAAATATCGCAATTCTAATAATTCTTTTGACAAAATCGATAGCTTTCAATTGTTTAAAAGAAAATTCAAAAATTCTAGTAAAATCGCGGTGTCGTGCGTGTCGCTTCGAGAAGTGTCTCAAAGTCGGAATGATACCAGAGAGTGGGTTTTTCTAATAAAGTTTCCAAAAGTTGTTGAAATTTGTTAAGCCAACTTGTTGAAATATGCAATTTGAACTGACAAAGACAAGAAAAAACATTTTCAGTTGTTGGTAGAAGGGTCGACTCAACATTACGGCTCGAAAAACCGTCTACATCCTACGCAAAGAAAATGAAAAAGATTGTGAGTTTTGAATTAAATATAAGCTTTTAAAACTTCAATAGAACTCACAATTGGTTAGTAAACTTCTCAGTAAATAACTCTTGCTTTTGAAATGGAGTTTTTGATTCAGATAGATTCAGATAGATAGATTTACAATTCGTCAAGTCACATAGACTCTTACTTGAATCGATTTTACAGAGTTCCTTCAATAGGTTTCAGGTTAATATTTTAATTACCGTAAATTCTCTATTAGAGCGGCATCCTCCATTAGAACGGCATCTCCTAATGCTAATTTTGGCAGCTCTCAGATCCAAATTATCCAAAAAAATTTTCTCCGAAAGTGCTTAAAATGATGCATATGGGTTCTAATTATAATTTCTATAATTTTGCTTTATTTTCTTGAGTACACCGTTCAGTGCACGCAATGCAAGAGGGACTGTAGCGTCAGAACAATAGATCGGCATACCGCTCTAAATAGAGGATTTACGATAAGTTTTAATTCCTTTTCAGAAAGAAGAAATCGACTCAAGTGGAGATGAAGTCGAGTGTTATAGTCCGGACACAACTGTGAATTCAACTAAAGCAGCGACAATTGTCAAGGTGAGTGAGACGTGCACGATCTTTCACTCTTGCAGTGACCACGATCACTGCAAGTATGAGAAAAGACTTATAATTAGTAGATTTGGCAGTTTTGAGTCTACCAACTTGTTTTCTAACAAAAGAACTACCCAATAAAAATCCCGTTTTCAATTTTACATCTCACCTCTTTTCAGAATCACCTCTTATTGCCTGCACTCGTCTTTCCAAAACCGTTTCGTTTCCCAGCTTTGCAAAACAATCACAAAGCTGTTCAAGCGCTTGTCAATGTTGAGAGGTTTGTTGAAAAGAAAGAGTTTGATAAACAAGCAACTGGGTTTCTTTCTACTTTTTGAAGCTTTCTTTTGAAGTTATCACGTAATTGAACCGGAGTTTTCTTTAGAATGTGTCTCTTCGAGGACTCGCCATTAAAAAATCAAATCGATTTCAAGTTCAATGTGCAAGTTGGCATTGTTGATTTATTGATAAATCCGACTGTTGTGTGTCCTCGAGTACCGGTAAAGTTATTTGACTAAATCACTGAGCACAAAAAATTCAGATGGGTTTTCAAGCGATTCAAGACACCGAGGTGTGCCCGCCAAATTTTATAGGAAGGTGAGTGATTGAGCCAGAGTAAAACCATTCAAAACTTACTTGTTCAGCTATCATTTTAGGTGTTTCGTTCGTGCAATGCTTTACTTGGTTGATTGGGTTCGCTCGAACAGTGAATTCAATTTGATGCCAATGATTGATAGGGTAAAGTTTGTGTTTGATGTCGGTTTAAAGATCTTTTCGAACGTTTCCCAATGCCAATAGTAGACTAGATTCTATTAGACATGGGAAAGCTCCAACCTGAACCTAATTCCACTTTCGTTTTCTTGGCCGATTGCTCTGAAATTTTGTCTACAAATAGAAATCGACATTTTCAGCTTGCAGACCAAATTTCAGAGGAATCGGCCAAGAAACGTTGACGAAGTCAAACCAAGGAACAGGGTCAAGCGAATGGTTTATTTTTGACTTGCATTCGTTTGTTTTAGGCAAACAGTGCTCATTGTTGGAAAAGTCAAAAGAAAAAGTTGCCTGCTTTCCCCCAAAAAAATGACTCCAGGAAGAGTCCTGTCCAAATGGCTGAATGACTAAATTCTATAAGAAATCTTTAGAAGTACTTTGTGGAAGTGTTTTACAATTCTTCTAATACTCGGACACTTCGCTTTTATGATTTTATTTGCATAATTGAAATCTTATTCCAAAAAAACATTCTCAAACGATTTCAGATCCAATTCTGTGCCCGCCTCTTTCCGATAATGTATCCACTACAAATTTTCTATTACACTTATAAAGCGAAATGCGAGGGTGTGTTGACGGGGCTTGGTGGGCAATATATTGAAGAGGGGTAGGTGAAAACATAATATTAGGCTGGCAAATCTTGGCACAGTTTTAAACTGGAATTTCTTCAACACGAATCCATCGATTCAAGAACGCTTTGCTCTACTATTTACAAGTCGTCTCCAAGAAATTACTCGTCAAAAATAAGTACAACTTTCCCTTAGGGATTTTAGAGTTCTTTGAAAAAGTCTTATTTTCAAGCTTAAATTCAGCTCACTTTCTGCAAAAACGATTCCTTATGGGGTAAATCATAAATGAGCAATACGCTCTATAATCTTTATTTTTGGCCAAAAAAATTTTTTACAGATAAAGAAACACGCTTTTTTTTATAGTTCTCCACTGTTTGGCTCCGATTCGGATATTCGAAATTTCTACAAACCTCTTTGTGATCTCACCCAGGGCACTGTCATTCCGTTGTTAAACGATATTGGGATCACCGAAGATGAATATGTTGTGCTGAAGAATGTTCTGATGTTCAGTTCTAGTGAGTTTGATTTGTTAAGCATTAATGGCTACTGGGATACTAATTCTAAAAATAAGACGAATTGATTGTGAGCTCATTTAGCGAAACTAGGTAAATGAGTTCACTTTGTCAAAAGAAAACTAAATCATTTTTAGGTCTAGGCCTTAGCGAGAGCAGCGCTTTCATCGTTCGAAACGCTCGACGCCGTTACGAGGCCATGCTTGTGGAGGTTGGTGTAATAACTTAAAAAGTTCCTTAAATTTGACAACTACCCAGTGCAATACTTTCACATTGCGAACCCTCACTTAAATCGCTAATTGTTCAGACAGTTTGCTCACGGGTATCTGACGCAGCGAAAACAGTCGAGGTGATGGGCAAAATCATGCAATTTGTCTCAATCATTCAGGTAGTAAGAACTTTATGAATAATTTGTTGTCTAAGAATAAGATGTGTGACTTTATGGGCTATTAAAGGAGTAAATCAGCTTTTCAGGTGTTTTAGCCTTAAGCCGTCGTAGCCGACCGGATAGGAGTCTTGTCTCCTAATCTCTTAACCCCCCGTTAAGGGTTCAATCCCGGCGGCTAGAAAGATTAGTTCTTTTTCCCGTTATTATGGGTTTGTTTTCTTAACAACAATCGACAATAGGGGTAATTAAGGGTAAAAATTTCCTCCATTGTATTGTAATTCATTATTCGTGCCGAATAACTATACCTTAAGCGTCTCGGCTGGTTTCGGTTTAACGGGGTGTCGAATTTGTAGCGGAAATACAGCCAAAGTTATGGCAAAAATTGTCCCCGAAAATTTGCGCATAGTAGCATAGTGAAAAAAGTAGGCAGAGGGACGCTTAGGGTTACGGTAGGGAAACTTTAGTTTTATCATCCAATATAAAAAATAGCAGTAGTTCATCGTTAAATTTGGCCCATTACAGGGCCTCTCCCAAATCGCCACTCCATATTTTGCCCGAATGACCGTGATGAACACGGAGGGTCTTCGATCTCAGCTCACCTCGGAGATTTGGCTGAACACCTTGTGATTTATATAATTATTTCCTGTTTTTTTCTCTATTTTCCTATATTCCGGATATAGTTTGAAAAAAAGTGATGTACAAATGGTTCATATAATTTGAAAATGTCTCAAAACTATCGTACTCCTCCTCCGTGTTTTTGTGATTTTTGAACTCTTTGTGATTTGTGAATGTGATTTTGATGGGCACCAGTTATTCCAAGAATAATCATCGTGTTAGAGAAAGAAAAAACAATTTCCGGTGTGATGAAGGAAAAAAAGCCAAGAATAAAATACCCAGTCATGACCGTAATCCTCGATATTTATGTGTTCTTTGATTATGTCTAAGTACAGAGAAAACCAGATGGGATATTCGAAATCATATAGAATTAAACGTTCAAATCAAGCAGATATGCAAAAACATAGTTTTGATGATTCTTTTCTAAATTCTAAATTCTTTAAAGTTTAGCTACGTTTCTTTACCAGCAGGCTAATTTATGGACCCATATTCACTTTTATTGTTTTCAAAAGTTCCTAATTATCTTAGTTAACTATTGTATAAGACTTGCAAAAATTGGCTACCGTAAATACTGTAATAGTACCCCACCCCCATAATGACGTGTTGTGAGTGTTGAGTGTTGCGTGAGTGCTGCGTCGTCTAGCTTTGAACGAGTTTTTCTCGACACTGGTTTATGCTACAATGCGCGCTTAGGTATCAAAAAATAGCTGAAATTCAGGGCTATTTTTTGCTACCAAAGACGCATTTTTTGAAAGTACGGGCGCTTTGAAAAAAAATGAAATACTAAAAAACTTTTGCGACTACGCGACTGTACGAGGGGGTGGGGTACTATTACAGTATTTACGGTAGGTAATTTTAAATTTAAAGCCACCCTTTACTTCTTGTAAAATAAGAAACCTAATTCTTTTTTTGGAAAAAGTGGATTTTAAAAACGATGGCTGAACCAAATGAGATCTAGTTTATATCATTTGAAAGAGATTTCTTTTCTCAACAATATCGCTTTTGAGAGATTTTTGAAAAGCTTTTGTTTTTCAACATTTTCGGAGATGCAAAGAAAAGTTGTCAGAATTGACCAAATAGAAAAGCGCTGATTTTACAACATTTTTGATCAGTACTAGTTTCAGTTTTTTTGCACAAAATAAAGCTCTTAGATTTTCACATTTTCAATAAAATTTTCAACCAAAACCGTCCAGCCGTTTTTGTCTGAATTTTGGTTTAAACAAAAGTCCTCAAATAAAGGATTTTGATCATATGAAGCACTGTGAATAAACTGAAATTTGTAAAAAACGGCTGAATGGATTTTACTGGAAATTTGACCAAAATTTTAACAGTGATTGATTTTTTTGGCCTAAAAAGTTAATCTCAGTTCCCATCAAATATCTCATCAATCCTCATTATTTTTTTATGTGGTCTTGATCTAAATTAGAGTGTGTTCCTCGCGATGTTTTGTAATGCGAGTAATGCGTTTTTTAAAACGCACACTTGGGAAAAAAATTACCGTACTTTTAGCAAAAATGATTGCAAAAAAATGGGGGGTGGGACAAATGCGACCTTTTTTTGCGCACCTGGACATTTGCACACCTTTGCTGGAAAAGGCCTTAGGCAAGACCGTAGAGCTTCGAAAATATTTCCACATAAGGGAATCGTATGCGTAGATTCCGAATTTCGACAAATCACACCTCGCTGACACGTCAAATTTGGGCTAAAAGGCACAAACTTCGGAAAAGCGTTCAGTTGCGTAGTTTTTGCCTTTTAGCCCAAATTTGACGTGTCAGCGAGGTCTGATTTGTCGAAATTCGGAATCTACGCATACGATTCCCTTCCATGAAAACATTTTTGAAGCTCTGTGGCCTTGCCTAAGGCCTTTTCCAGCAAAAAAAGGTGCGCAAATGTCCAGGTGCGCAAAAAAAAGGTTGCATTTGTCCCACCCCCAAAAAATGAGGCAAAAATGACGAGCCCCGCATTATATACGACACTTTTTAAAGATACTCAGCCGTTTAACTGATTTGGTGGGAAATTCCCTTCCAATGTAAAAAATTATTTTTTTTGAAAAGCCTGCGCAAAAAATGGGGTAGGCTAGTTTCCGCAACTTTTTTTGGCGCAACAGGGTTATTTGCGCAACTGGGTCCTTTGCGCAACTGGGTCCTTTGCGCAACTCGCCATAACTTTCTTCTAAGTGGACCAATCTTTATGATTTTGGTTTCATTTTGTAGATCTCAATAAGTGCAACATAAACCAAAATCGAAACCAAAATCATAAAGATTGGTCCACTTAGAAGAAAGTTATGGCGAGTTGCGCAAAGGACCCTGTTGCGCCAAAAAAAGTTGCGGAAACTAGCTTACCCCCAAAAAATTGCTTTTATATTTATTTTCGCGCAAGCGCACTTTTTAGAAAACGCATTACTCGAGTAAAAAATTACTCGTGCAAATTTACTCAATTAATTACTTACTCGCGAGGAACACACTCTAATCTAAATGTTTTGCGCAAACAAGAAATGAAAATGAAATGAAATGCGTCAATGAAAAGAAAAATTTTTGTAGAAAAGTGGGGCAAAAGATCAACGGCGCATTAAGTACACTTTCCACATTTTGTTATTGTCAACGAGGTGCACATTGAGTCAACAATCACAAGATAAAATTAGCTGTACATGTGTTTAGTTTTGAACTTTTGGGTCAGTTCATTTCAGTTTTATTTTTGCTATGATATACCTTGCATGATCACTTTGTTAGGCACAGGCTGACTCACAACTTTTTTTTGGAATGTTAACGATCAGTTATCCTGATGCTGGTCAGGCTATGGCTTGAGCTTGGCCTGGTTATTGAGTTTCAGAACATCCTGATCCAGTTATATCCTCACAATCCCGTAGGTTATGCTCAAAAATGAGTTACCTCTTGTGACGCATTCGTCTTCATCGTTTCTTAGAGTAAAAATCAGATTGAAGAATCGCAAGGTTGACGAATTGAGTTGGCTAGAAGGTGTGTTTTCTTAGTGAGCTAGTACACAAGATCGATAGAAAAAGTATTTTGTGTCGTAGATAATACTAAATATTTGACGTTTACTTTACTCTTTTGATCGTATTCATTTGCAATGGCGATTTTCGACTGAACTTTTGAACTTAAGACAATTTTCAACTTTTGAAACTTTTCCCAAATCCATCATTGACAAAATCAATCAACCAATGCTTTTTCCACTCAAGATCCCGCTGATCGGAAATCACTTTTTCTCGCGAAAATTTCCCGGTGAATCTTTTTCAAAAACAAGTTACGTGTGATTTCTCAAAAATCTCTTGTTCCGCACATCAAAATTTTTTCCATTTTCCATATCAGATTTTTGTGTGGAGAGAAGAGAGCTTTGCAGGCAGTCGATTGAGTGTTGGAAAACACAAAAATCGGCACTTGATCAGCAAAAATGACAGCAAAGTTCTCGTGAGATTTTCCCCGCATTTTTACGAGGAATGTACGAATCTTTTTTTACTTCCTGTTTGATTCGTCATCACGGAAGAAAAGGGGAGATTGTTATCCACAAGTTGACGTGGTGGTTATATGTTTTTTGAAAGCTCGCATTCATGACTTTAGGTAAGTTTTTGTACTGGGTTTTAAGTGGCGTGAGAACTTTATTTTACCATTATTAAATAGATTATTTGAAAATGTAAAACTTTAGCAGCTAACAAGGAAAATATAGACTTGTAAGGAAAGTATAGACCTTGTAGGGAAAGTATAGATCAAAGTAGCTAAATTCAAACATTCGCTTGATTAATCGAGAAAATCCATTCTTAGTTTCTATTGAGAGCTGCTGCTTTTGCTAAACTCGAACTTACAATCATAATTTCACAAGTTTCATCATACTTTTATCTAATTTTCATCTTATAGTATCTAGAGTACCAAATTCTCAGGGCACTTGACTATGCCGAGAAAAAGTAAGAAAAGAAGTAACAAACTTTTTCAAATGTCAGAAAACCATTCTCCTTCATCGCCATTTTCCGAATCAAATTATAGCTTTGCAGCTGTATTTTCCCTGAGCTTTGTGCCCCGCGGAGAAGCCATTTTGTTTCAATGAGAGCGAGAAATGAGCAGAGCAAGTATACATTTTTTGCGCACCAAAAATGAGCTGATTTTTGTTTTCAAATGAAAACTGTAAAACTATTTTCAACGGGTTCAACGCTTTTCGATTTTGTCTAGCTGAAACAAAGCTATGTGTACCTTTCATGTGTTTCGTAGGAAAAAGTGGCATATGGTACACGGCCTGTACGTCGATAGGACGGTAGAGACCTCGCTCCTCGGTTGAATTGCCCAAGTTTGAGGTTGAAGAAATGTCGGGATGGGGATGCACAAATGAAGAAGAGATGTAAGATGAGGCTCGTTCTTGCTTAATTTTATTCTGGAAAACAGAATAAGAGTGGCTTAGAATTTCTTGGGTAGTTGGCCCGATTCACAGTTGACTCTATTTAGACAATTTTTTTTAGAAAGCTGGTGTGTAATCTAAGAATGAATCAGAATTTTTTTTGACTAAACTTTTCGAACGATTTCTTCATCATTTTTTTCATTCAATCGACTTCTTCGTAGCTTCATCACTTCATCGATCAAATCCATCTTCTAAAAATTCTAAAAATCTTTAAAAATCCATTTTCGTAAAATCCCTCGAAATTTGAAAAAGATTTTCGCTCAAGATTATTTTTCCTTTCCCTTTTTCAAAGCACATTCTCCACATCAAATCACCGTACTTGCACGGGAAGTCAAAGAGCAAAAAAAAAGAGGAAAAGAGCGAGATTCTGTTTGGTTTAATTACTTGACTACATTACTTTGCTCTCCCAGGTGTGAATCAAAACATCTTTGTCAAAAGATCAAAAGATATTTTGAACTTTTTGAGGAGTGAAAAGGCTAAAAACTTCTCAAAGAGCCAAATATTTTGTTTAAGCCATTATTTTCAGAAAAATAAGTACGAGATTCCGTGGGAATCTTTCGCTAAGGTGGGATTTGGGAAAATAGTTGACGATTTTTGATACTGGACTT